TGACTGTACACCTTTTGTGTGTTGATCTCTCCAATTACTCAAATGACTTTAATATGGATTTTCTAGGATGAGATAACAAAAGCCGGGAGTGAGCTCAAGAAAGCTGGTGTAATAAAAAGACAGGTAGCAGTTCTATTAAAATTGCCATCATTTATCTTTTAAACTGATTAAAAGAAGCAGAGCTTGGATGCATGGAAGCAAAAAAGATAAAAATCACAATAGGAACAAAGTCAGGAATATGGCATGGAACATTTCAGAGTAAATATTAACATAAAAATAACTTGATTTTCCTTTCTGTTATTAGAAAGACAATATTAACAAAACAAGAAATATGCCATGGAAGTTGTCAGCAGAGTAAGTTSTATACTAAAGTCTTTTAATAATAACATTTATCATATAATTATCTATGAAATGCCTACAGCTCTCGACAAAATGTTTGTGAATATCCCCACTCCCCTGTTACAAAGTTGAGATTCTCAAAAAGAAGCCCTGGCTGACACAATGAGAACCAACTTTGAAACAGGGGTGTGGGGATAATATAGCAGCTAGATGTTCGAATATTTTTGTCGAGAGCTGTATATTTATCCATTTCGTAAAATTGATATTTTCCCTACGCTCACTCATGATAGATCTTTTCAACACTCGAAGATAAAATCTGTATCTCTGTGCACCCATGTAATATCCTCTATATCTTCAATTTATGAACAATTTTGTGTTATCTGAATTCATATTTTGTAACAAATAGGACTGTGAGGCTGTTGGACCCAAGCCCTAAAGATTTCATTACATCATCTACGTATGATGAAGTAGCCCAGTTTGTGAGSAGTTGCTTTAGTGCACCAGTCAGCGGTGACAATAGAAAGATAGCTAGATTGACAGARGAGACAATATGTGGTGGAATGGTTGCAGCATGTTTGTCTTTGCTATTCACTGGAGAGGTTAGTTGCCTTAACAAACCTTGAGCTTTTCTTGGAAAAGATTTTCTTATAATCTAAAGAAATAGATCAAAAAAGAGTGATAATTAGCATGTTTTTTTTTCTTCGGTCTGGTATCCTAGTCATTCACTTGCTGTGATTGGCTAGCGTGCTGTCTAGTATTTCACAATCTGAATCCTGCAGCTTATTAAGTAAATAAAAAATAATAATAAGTGAATAAAAAATATAAATTTTAAATTTGTTATTTACCAGCTATAGGTCGGTCCTTATAGGAAAACACTGTCCAAGGTCTTTTATGTACTGTCAAGACCTTGGGCAGTGTTTTCCTATAWGGACCTCACAGCTGGTAAATAACAAATATTTTATTGCTTTTGATTCTAATAATAAACAATATTCAGTTCAATATTATCATATTTTAATTGTAGATATCTGTTGAGTTTCACCTTCCTGCTGAAATCCTTGCTCAAACTCTCGAACCAATCAAACAGCCTTCTCAAAAAGACAAAGGCCAAGGCAAGTCAAAACAAGCTTTCAACAKCAAACAGAAAAAGAYGGCAATRACGGAACAAGAGAGACCTGGAASTGTTGTATCAAAAGAACTTGAGGCARAKGAAAGTAGTACGAAACATAATGATAAATCTCCATTCATCAAGCCTAGGTTGGCAAAGGCCGGCAAGTCGTCCAAAGGTTCTGCAAAAAATCAGCAATTTACGGATGATCATGGTAAATTTCACAATATAATATTTCTAATCAATAATTCTCCGAATTCATAGCAAAATTACATTTTGATTCATAGAGAAGTTATTATTAAGAGAAATGTTGCAAATTGAATCATTCAAAACTCTTTATCAGAAAAAGGTTTCTGTAAGTAGCGTAACATTAGTGTCACACCTCTCTCTAATCAGCATCATCATCAGCATCATCATAGCTCCTCGCACCAGAAGGCGCATAAGGCCTTCACCTCTCTTTCCAGCCATCTCTATCTAATATTGATTAATAAATTGTTATTTCTAGATGACGTTGTGAAACCCTCCGATGAATCAGACAAAGATGGCAGCACAGYGAAAGCATCAAAAAGGAAAAATCCAAAAACCGTATCATTTAGTGATGACTCATTGAAAGAGATTAAAGAACCTTTGAAAAGCAGTGAAACAAGGTCTGAGAAACAGATCCACCTTAAAACAACAAAGAAGAAGGACAAAAACACAGACAAATGCACAACAAGACTCAGGAATCCCTTCATCAACAACCAAGCAATAACACACTGCAAGTTTGACACCACATTTAGTGTATCAAATGCAGATGGTAGYCTGTTCACACCCAAGCTAAAGAAAAATAATAACACTAAAAMAGTCACAACCGGCACARTCAATCGGCCAACAAGAACAGCAAATTTACCATGTCGTACTGCTTCAAAACCAAAGCTGATGAGCCAGGGATATAACACTCTAGATACCCTTAAAGTGAACAATTGTGAGATCATTCTTTGGAGTCGATCAGTCAAGAATGCTTTAGAGGTTACCAAGGACAGCCATGATGTCACCACAGTTGATAAGGACAGCAGAKATGTCACCATGGTTACCAATGACAACAATGATATCACTTTGGTTGCTAAGGACAATGACAACACCCCTGTAGTTGCCAAGGGCTGTCATGATGTCAGTGTTGTTGCTAAGGACAACAGTGAAATCTCMATGAYCGCTAATGACAACAATAATRCCTCTGTGGTTGCCAAGGGCAACAAGGATGACATATYCACTGTTTCCAAGACTAGGCAACCAACTGCTTCAGATAAAACTGCAGAAAATGGGACTGAGACAAAAGACAATCTCATGGCCGGAAAGTCAGAAAGCAATCACTTTCAGTTTTATCCATTTTGGCTKTCCCTAGAAGAGGTTCTTAAAGACGCRCCTTSTTTGGAGGAATATCTTAGGAGCTGTAGACATGATCAATACTTTACTGACAGTGATGAGAATTTAGYAAGGGTGATTTATGACA